CGTCTAGTACCCTGTTTAAACCAAACGCCCTTACAGGCAGGAACATTTTACTCGTCAATTTACGTTTTATAATTTAATATTTAGTTGTAGCAAGTTAACGAACTATAATAATATTTTTTTTTAAGTTCCAAGTAGAACTATAATTAATGCCTTCCAATTATTGATAATGAAAGTATTATACCCAATTAATAATTTAATTTATTTAATTTTAATAATTTAAAAAACGATACGCCCATGTACGCGGTCCTTTTGAAGTCGGTGCTAGTCGGTTATAATGCCGTGTTGAATTGTGTCTAGAAAGACTATACCATATTTTTAACTTTGAATTAAATCTGGGATTCCATGGTACGAAAAAGTATTTATGCAACGTGTGCACAGAATACAATACAAAAAAAGATAAACAAACATCAAATGAAGATTTAAATTAAAAATACAATGAGCATATAAAAGCTAAGCTAGAAGCTCGTGAAGAAAAAAACAAAACATAGAATCCTATAAGAATGATCCGTCTACAGCTCTACTATGCTTTGATATGCAAAGTGTTATAAAATGTCCACAAACACAGATTTCAATATCTTACTATAAAAAAGTACGCAGTTTATAATTTGACTGGTAATGACGTTGTTTAAAAAACCAGTCATTACATTTTGTGGCACTAACTGTTAAGTGGAAGAAAAGGTGTCGATATTGCAAGTGCTTTGTATGTTCTCCTTGAAAAACTGTTGTGGGATAGACCTAATGTAACAAAACTGATTTTGTGGTCGGATACGTGCCTCAGAATAAAAACTCGCACATGTCAGCAGCTCTATTGTATTTTTTAAGAGAGCATCCTGAAATTGAGGGCATTGTTCAAAAATTTAAAGTTTCAGGTCACAGCTGTGTCCAGGAAGTTGACGCAATGCATAGTACCCTGGACCGAAATTTAAACAAATTGGAACTCCACAAAGCAATAAAAAATGTTCGAGCAAGAAAGCCGTATTAGATAGTCCAGATGAATAAAAATAAATTCGTGGATTTTAAACCAATATTAAAATCTGTAACTTTGACAACAGTACCGTACAAAAACTTAGTTCAGATTTCTTTTAAGCATAATTTCAGCTGTGTTAAATATAAATTACATATCTCCTATGAAAATCCCATTGTGGTGGAGTTTTTGAAACGTATCAGACAAAATAACAAACAAGCGTTTTTTGAAATTTTTTCTAGGCCTACAGTTCAGCTCCCTCCTCCCAATTTGCCAGCAGATAAAATTGAACACATTAAAAGCTTGTTTAATAAATTCTCAGCAGTGGACTTGCAGTTTTGGAGATGCATTATAAACAATTTTTAAGTACCTATTTCAAATTACTAAGTATGTAAATCAAAGTCTGTTTATTTTGCTACTGCTTTTTTGAATTAAAATAAATATGTTAGGTACCTAACAATCACCATTTTTCGTTATTAGAAAAAGTGTTGTGGACATAGAATAATTTATTTTGCTACAAATTTTTCTGTAGAAAGCAATTTATTCTATGTCCGCAACAAATTTTTTTCTATGATAATTTTTCCTAGACAGCCAAAATTTTTAGTATATTTTTGGTTTTCTCTCTTTTACAAAACCTTAAAATAAACTAAATTACAGTTCTAAAAAACAAAATCATTAAGATGTACACAATAGAAGCTGGTGAATTTTAAAAATGCTCTAATGTAAAATTTTGAAAAATGGTCCTCAGGCGATGATATATTATCAAAAAAATATATTTGTCTTATAGCAAAATATAAATTATCTTTTATAATTTTTAATATAATTTATATTATGTAGGCATAATAAATTAATATAATCCTTCTACTATTATTTAATCATGTACAACTAGGTTTTAATTAAAATAAATAAATAATTTCTTCTCCATTTCGCTACTAAGCTGACAACACACAAAGTAAGAGGCCATTCAGGCCAGACTCGAAGAAGAAAGATGTTAAGAACGGCCTATGAGTTCGAGTTTGGATAGATTGTGTTATCTGGTAAGAAAATAAGCATAATTAACATGAATCCTTTTTAGAGGTGTTGTTAAATGATGTATGCAAGGAAAATGGCTTTGTTAAAAGCAAATTAATGCCCTGCAAATTCGAGATGATGTCAAAACAATTATTATTGTAACTAATAGAGGTGACTGACTTCAAGCCAGAAGAAAAATTCAAGTGTCTATTTGAACTGCATGAGAAGTTAGCAGAAGTAAATGACTATATAGAAGATAAAAATATTTTTAAAGAAGCTGTAAGTTTTACTTTTATTAAATAAAACAGAATATTATATAAATAAAACGTTCACTGGTAAATATGGTCAATAGTTTTAATTTTTTATAAAATTTAAGCACTGGCACTACATATGTTTCGGAAATACTATTCCATCTTATGATGCCAATCAATATTTAATAAAACATGGGGGCGATTACTAACATTTTAATGTTTTTTTTAAAATAACAGAAGCCCCATTATTCACAACATGGTTTAAGAACATATTTTCAAATGCTAATGATTTAAATCCTCTCGACTGGGGTTTAAAAAAATAAAAAAATGGAAAGATTTCAATTTGCATAAATGAACAACCAGCGCCAGAGATTTTAGTCAAGAATGTAGCTTGCGTATGTACCACAGGTTGCCATTGCAAACAATGCATGGGTATCAAATGCGAAAATGTACGAGTGACAGAGATTACAGAAGACGATGTTCTTGAAGACAAAGACCAAGAAATCGATATCCAATTTGATAATAAAGAGATATAAAACAATGTAAATAATTTGTATAATTAATGAACGTTTAATGTTAAATTAATTTTTTTTTACCTGAATAAACTTTCAAAATCCTTAAATTAATATAAAATTATATTTTTTATTCCAAAAAAAGAAGGCAATTATATCTACGATCATAAAAAAATAATTTTTAAGAATAATTAGTTATGACTTTGTTTATAAATCGGAAACATTCGTAAAAATATTTTTTTTTTATTGAAATAAAATCAATTCTATTATAAAATGTAACAACTAAAACGTTATCAAGGTAAAGCGATTAAAAATTAAAAAAATGGTTGAGCGGCTATATCTCAGTCCGTTTTTATCCAAAAAACGTTTTGAAGCCACCATTTTAATGGATGTGCAATTAACTTTTTTATGTAAATACCTATGCCTATCTCTGCTCATTAAACGCAAAAAACAAAAAAGTAAAAAAAAAAATAAAAAGTCAACTTTTGCTTGTTTTAAATCCTATTTTTATATTTTTACTTTCCTGTCTGTGTACAGATAAGGAAAGTAAAGGAATCATGAATGTTCTCGACGGTTTTTTACGTTTTGGGGTCCCCTGAATCTATTTTGACTATTTTCACGATGATGTCTGTTAGTGTGTGTATCTCTATCCTCGATAACTCATGAACGGATACAACGAAACACACCAAATTTTAAAATTAAGTTTAATTTCGGCCTCCAGTGAACTGTTTAGATTTTGGGCAGAGTCGGAATATCTGGGGGGGTACTTTATGGGTGGTCATTTTTATATTTTATGGAATATGTTATTTAGGTTTGGAGAAGAAAATTCTTTAAATAAAAGTTACTTACAATATTATCAATATTTTTTGTTCTTTACAAAATTTTCCTAAAATGGTCCGTATTCGAGAAATTTAACAAAATGTAAAAAAACTATTTTTTTATAAAAATTGTTTCAAACAAAAGTTGTTTATAATATAATTCGCTAAATATTTGATCCTATACATAATTTCTCTAAAATGGACCGTAGTCGAGATATTTGAGAAAATGTGTAAATTAGGAATTTTGAAGAAAACTCAAAAACGGATAAAGGAAAAAACATTAAATTTTAAACTTGTTTTATTTTGACCTGAGGTGAACTGATTAGATTTTGGAAAAAGTCGGAACATCTGGGGGTGTACTTTATGGGAGGTCGTTTTTATATTTTATGGAATATATCTGTTAAAGTTGAAAAAGAAAATTTTTCAAATAAAAGTTACTTATATTATTATCTATAATTTTGGTTCAATACAAAATTTTCCTAAAATGGTCCGTATTCGAGAAATTTGACAAAATGTGCAAAATTTTGATTTTTAAGAAATATGTTAAACTAAAAGTTGTTTGCGATATCGATCTCTATAATTTTTGTTTTTTACATGATTTTTCTAAAATGGACCATAATGGCAAAATTGGAGGAAAAGTGCTAAATTTAAATTTTTCAGTATTTTCGTTTTCTATGAATATTTATAGAAAAATGTTTCGAGTTAGATGTATGTGGAAAATGTATATATTTAGTTTATCCTCTAAACATTTATAGAGGTGCTGCAATAGGTTGTACAAAATAACCGGAAAAAGCCTATAATAACTAGATAGGAAAGTCATAAAGAAAATGTATACATTTTTTATATAAACTATTTTGATATGAAATCGTATTCTATTAAGAAATTTTCTATTAACAAAAACTGAATTTTGCTTCGTTTTCGAGATATGTTTAATAAACTGTAAGGGTTACATTTTCGCCCCTATCTCCAATTTTCATCCACTAATTTAATAGCATTCCGCGGGTTTTTCATTTCTAGTGACCATTTAAAAGATTCATGAGATAAAAACCGATATAAGTGATTGCTGTTTTTATATGACATAATCAATAACCTATGATGTTCAAATAAAGCAGTTAATCAAAAACTTTATTAACATTTATAAAGTATAACTTTTTTCGCAGCATTTACTTTACGGCCGCTTTTTATATGCACCAGATTTGTTTATCATATTTATTGTTAATAATTCTATACAAATCTAAATAACAATAGGTTTTAATTCGATTAATTAAACTATTTTTACGAAAAAAAAAAAAGTTGGCCCTACTTTGACTTAACCAGAAAACACTTGGTCTCAACTACGCCTCGGCAGAAAATGTTTGTTCTAACCAAAAAAAGATCAACTTTACAGTCTTGGTACACAAATAACTATTGTTTAACTTTGTTAACAATTATAATAAAAACTTACTTTTTTACCTCGGCACGTCAAAAATGTTCCAAACTCAACGTTTTCCCGCGTTCAATCACAAGCAAACAAAAACCAAAAACTTCGGTAACAATCGAAAAATTTTCCAACCCACTTTTAATTCAATACTCGCGAAAAACGTGCGGAAAACATACGGACGCTCAGCATCGGCATTTTCCTTCCAGATGGTTCGAAAATCCACTGAACGGAACGAGCGGCACCGGAGTCTGCTGGAGGGAACAGGATACAAATTTTTCGACATTGAAGTGAGGCGCGTGCGTAGCACGCAGGACAACGTGCCCGGTGGCTTAGTCCTTGCTGATTGATGGTGGTCTTGATGTTAACGAATTTTTTCTAGCGGTGTTAGGTTTCGGTAAATGATACTTAATCTTTGCGCTTTTTATAGATACTTCTTTTTTTAGATACTTTTTTTTCTCTCTGTCGAAATATGATGTAGAAAGGATATGTTAGCTTTAATTAAAGGATATGTGGAGCTTAGGGGAAATTAATTTCAAACTTATATAACGAGCCATAGAGAAACATCATAATTGGAGTTGGCTATGAGATTTAAATTTTTTTGGTTGGTATTTTGTCATAACTGCAATTAGAAAAATTAAATTTTAAAAACGGTATTCAACACAGAAAACAAAAATTACAGAATTAATGGCTGTAGCTGGCCGGCCATAGGAGTATTCATAGATCTTGTAAAGACATTCGATACTGTGGACCACTCTAGTTGTTGGAGAGTTTCTAGGTGTGAAATTGCGCAAAAATTGTTCCAATCTTATCTAAAAGGATGAAAAAATGTGATAAAATTAATAATCCGAAAGGGCTGTTCAAGAAAACATTTTTGGTCCCATTCCATTTGTATTATACATTAAATATCTACTAACAGTTTCAACTTCTGAAAAGATAACAAGCTTTGTTGATGATACTGTCATTTTTTATGCTGAAAACACCTGGAGTAATCTGTAATAAAAGATTGTAAAAGCTTTATATAGATTGGTGTGTTACAATAAACTTCAATATAACTATGTTTCTACCTATAACAAGCTATGAAAATAATCTTCCTAATCGCAACAAGCTAAAAATCGTTAATCATGGTAACTTAACAATTATTAAACAAACAGTGTAGCCCTCAGCTATAGTTAAAGATGTCCATCCTCCATGACGTTTTAATAATAACATATTCTGTTCCCGATTGTACAAGTAATGTTACACTGTGAATTGTGTATTGCATTGGGTTTTCAATGTTTAAGTATTTCGCGATATCATTTTAAATGTTATACCTTTTTCCGTTATAATATCCTATAAAAAATATAATGTGACTGGTAGATTGGAAACGAATGAATGCATATTTGCGATACATTTCAGTAAAATTAAAACATCTAATTTTACAACTGATTACAAATGGTCGTTGTCCTGCTATCGGGAATTTTCAGAGTTTGTAATATGATCTTGTTATTTTATCTATTTTATAGTGTTTTAAGCTCTATGATTTTGGGGAGAGGGTCAGGTTATTAAACAACTCGTATTACTTTGAAAAAGAATGTTGAGGGCCACTATATTTAAAACTTTCTAAACTTGACAATCGATTAGTGATGAAAATATAGAAAATCACTAACCATTAAGATATTATAATTAAATAAGGTTTCAGATAAGGCAGCGACAAATTCTAATTCACAGAGACTTACTTATTCAAATTTATATGATTTATTATAGACCTATCTGTGGTATAACAGGTATTTTAGGAGTGATTGTAGAGGCCTTCTTAAAGGGAATTCATATGATACGCTGTTAAATCTTCATAGGTAAAGTTAAATCTCGTAAACTTCTTTGGATGGCTCGAACTAAACCTCTTGATATACTTGAAACAACTTCTGTAGCTGGAACTGAACTTCTAAGTTTCAATACTTCTACACATGCAGTTTAAACGTTCTTCCAACCAATCTTTTTCGATAAAACTTTTACAGAACCATCGATATAACTTCTATAGAACCATCTATATACAGCCAGGCTAGAAGGAGAAAGGTAAAAATATCAAGAAGGGAACCAGGAAGTGTATATAGGAGACAGATAATATGCTTTTTACTATTAAATGCACAATTTAATACTATTAGTGAATAGCTTCACAGAGACCAAAATTATTATGAAAAGGAAAAATCTTATTTAACATATTTAAATATAGTTAAGCATATTATCTCTTTCCAAACAAAATAATAGCTAAAATTATATTAAACACGTGAATCTTGTGGTTTCATGTTGAGGTTATGTTTCAAATTTGACATTTTAATTAGACATTCTTGTACTAAATATATATATTCAACATAATATCGGTAGAAAACTAACCTTTTTAAAATCAGACGGCCATTAAAAATATTAAAGACAATTAGTACATCAGATGTCCAAGATAAAAGATAATTAAAATTCAATAATTCAACTTGTTCGATGACAGATATAATTTGAAAATGAATTACCCTTTTGACATAAGGCATAAACGACAAATGACATTTGTGTAGAGATGTTGGTGTCAAAATAACGAAAACGGTTACAACCATAAGTCCATATTATCATTATTTAATTTCAGTCTCTGTAAGTCGTCCTTGTGGCATGCTCCTGCAATGCCACATACTGCAACTATCTTTAATAAAATATAAGTAAGTATAAAATTAACAATTGAGGTCATTTGCATCTATCAAATTACTGTCAAGTAAAATGTTTGATTTCATGGGACGGTATTCTAATGAATTCTTCTTCAAAAATGAGATTAATTTGGTAAAAATGTTGGAGATTTCATGTTAATCTTTAAGCCTTAGTTATATTGTTTTTATGTACTGTTCGCTAGTTTTTGACTTTGATGTAATGTCGTAAAAATAAAAAAGTTGTCAAAAGTAAAAACGGTGTATTTTTACATTAAAAAGTAAAGTCTTTGGATAACTGTGGCCTAAATACTTTCCAGCGATAGCGACTCTCCTACAGGTTAAAAGTGTAGCCTTTAACATTGAATACTCTGACCATAAGGTCTACAGCAGGGGCGGCTTCTCCATTGGTTCATTTCTGCAGTAAACACCCAGTTAAATTTCATAAAAACACATTTTAAAATTACATAAATAACCTAAAAATATAAATTTAATTTTAATATTTTTATTTTCATACCTGGTAATTTATATTATACACCATTTCGCTCTGGCTGATCGCGTCTCAATGGCATAGTATGCCCAAGTATACTAGGTCTGTGGCGCACTATGATGAGCTAGCCCAGATAAGAGAGAGGATTTTGCGAATGCTTGTAGCTAAAAAGAGATGTTAACACGCCAACAGATTCATGAAACTGCATAAGAACACATTAATTTGCGCGCCACTTACAAACAAGGTATGACGTCACAAAATAGGGCAGGGCATACGAACCTTGCCAAACTAGTACTTTTTATTTCTCGGTGTGCAGCACTATTTACGTGTAAAATATATATTGTGTTGCTAGTTTGTATTCGTTATCTTTTAAGACCCACTTTTTGCTCTTCAATGAATTGTACGTCAGTACAAATAGAATTCGAAAAATCTGGTACATTTAAGGAATCTGGTATAATTTTTAGACAAATCTGATACATAACAAAAACATATTCTGGCAACACTTTTCCAATCCGAACAAACTATTATTCCTCTATAAAACAATCTAAATAAAAAATAAAACCTGATAAGAGCTGCGGCTTTAATAAATTGGACGTGTGTGTGTCAATTCAACGATTGTTCCCGAATAACTTCTTTAAGGCAAGGTAAATAAAAGTTTTTTTGAGGTAATGTTGTTATTTTTCCTATTAACTCAAAAACGAACAATAATATTAACTTAAAATTTTTGGAAAAATCAGGCTGTACATTGATTGATTGATAAGGGGGTCTGTTAAATTGTGAAGAGTATAATTTAGAATGCAACATACTATATTCATTCTAATTTGTATATGTGGAATATTATGTATTCTGATGAGATTGAACTCATAAAATAAACATCTTAGTTCACTTGTTTAATTTGCCAATAAAAGGTATTTAAAAAAATATCATTTTGTTTCACATATATGACAAATAGTAAAAATGATTAAGTTTACAACAAAAACTAAAAAATGGTAGGTAAAGTCTCATATAATAATATTTTTTACACAAAAAGCTTTCTATATAACCTGATATATATTTAAAAATAATCTCAGAATATGAAGAAAAGTCAATTTACTAACTAATAATGTTTAACATATTAAAAACAAAACAAATGTTACAATAACAAAATATTCATTTATTCGTTTATTAATAGTTTTAGTGCTCAAAACAGTACGATATTGATGATGATAATAATAATAATAATACAAACTCAAATAATAAAAGAAAACATCGATATTGGAGCTTGTACAAAGTTTTTAACCTAACTTACAAATGATGAAATTATTGGAAAAAGTGAACACCCATTTTAAACTACCATAAGCCGCCACTGGTCTACAGCTTTATTATATCTGATTTTTCTTTTAAATACTTTAGGAGAACGTTTTAAGTAATGTTTATAACTAACTGTGAGTCACACTGTAAGTACTTAAACCGACAATATCAAATTTCATACACCTTGTTACATTGATCGGGTAATAAATCTGCTGTAGCTTCGTTTGCTGTTTTAATTATATCTGAAGGAGTAGAAATAGTTTTTCCGAGCATTTTTAACAACTTTACAATAAAATATTAAAATTTTAATATGGCCACTTAAAATTAGTCACGTAAATTGTTATTGTCAAACTAAATATGCTTTCGTTAAAAATAACGACAAAAAACTACTAGACCAATCCATTGATTCATTAACTTAGCCCTTATTTATGACAAGCATTCAGATTGTGTTTAACATTAGGCAGATAGAAGAGCTATCTCATGGGCTGCCGCATTGGAAAGAGCGAGATGGCTGCTAATTTGAGGAGATGATTGGCGCGAATTTGTTTATTTAAAGTGCGAGTAAGGGATAGTGGGGCACATGGAGAAAGGATAAATTTAGAGTTGCAGATTCCCACATACTTTGATTACTATACGGTGCAAGAGAGAGGTCCGACACGCCCAACATAGGGCGCGGCCATTTTGATTCCTATGCCATAGTTTATAGCTAAAAAATCAGATCGCTCACTCTGCGTCGGCACTTTTGATCTCAATGTTCCAGTTTATACACTGCGCAACTCGGATAATACAATATGTGACAACCACCTA